TAATCAGAGTAAGAACGAAGGTCTCATATTCCTCGTCGGGCAAGGAACTCAACAACAGCAACGCATTGTCCTCATCTTCAATCATGACATCCACATTCGTCAAATCAGCAAGAAGCTTTGTGTAGGTGTTCATGTGATCACTAATTGAGGTTTCCTTCAACTGAAAACTATAAAGTCTCCTCTTCAAATACAAGCGGTTCTCAACACTCTTTGTCAGATACTTGCTTTCGAGAATCTCCCAAATCTTTTTTGCAGAAGTCTCATTCATTACATCATATTTTAGATTTTGAGTCAAACAAGACCTAATCACACCACACGCCTTTCGATTCATCTTCTTTCAAATCTTCTCTTTAATGTCATCTGGCTTGCCATCTAACTCCAATGTATCCTTCAAATTCTGCGCGTTCAGCGCATCCAAAACCTCGCATCTCCATAATCTAAAATTATTTATGTCATTAAACATCTCCACATCTATCTTCATAGAGTGGATATTCAAACTCTGAATGGTCTTCAATCCAGAAACGCCACCCTCGATACCCGAAGCACTTTCTTTCCCCGACATTCTTTCTCAACGTACCAACGAACGAAGAATAGATCCAAAACTAAAAAGATAGTCTTTTACCAAAAGATCTAACATTTATCATCAAACAAAGCCCTAGACGAGCTTTCGAAACGATCTACTCCTCCAAATAGCCCAAGCGTAGCCCGAGCTCTGATACCATTGTTGTGCGCAGCGAAAATTTTGGCAGAGTTTCTGGTGCACTATAAGAAAGAAAGATCAATAAGAATTTCTGTCTCACCAAAGAAATAAGAATCTAAAACGAATATCTCAACAAAGTGATATATCGGCTCTTCCTCTCATCAGTTCTAGGACTGACTTATCGAGGGATCTTAAAAACTATTACAATGACCACAAATACAAACAAACTAATTTTACGTGGTTCGGAAAATTACCTACGTCCACGGGGCAAGGAGAGTGAGATCTACTATTAGAGGGAGAGATACAACTAGGGTTTACAATCTCACAATCTAAACCCTCTCACAAACTCTACTATTAGAGGGAGAGATACAACTAGGGTTTACAATCTCACAATCTAAACCCTCTCACAAACTCTCAAATCCCTCACACAAAATCTGGTTTACAATCTCACAATCTAAACCCTCTCACAAACTCTCAAATCCCTCACACAAAATCTCTCTCAAAAAGGGATGATCAAACTCTAAAACGACTGCACAAAACTCCAAAAGAATCTTTGTTCTTTCCCATGCACGCCGTTTTTCCCTCTGCTTTTGATCGCTACCTTTTTCCCAGCCTCTGCACTCCCTCAAATTTATACCTGCGCCGTACTTTCACAAAGCAAACCGTAGCAAAAAAGAAATCCACCTTGCACACCTAAAACCTAAGAGCTGAAGCTATATATATAGCTTTAACCGGTCAATCGGATGGGCCTTCTCTTTGTCCGCTGGACCAACCAATGAAAAAACCACTTCTATCTCTTCACACGGAAGAGCTTCCCATCTCTTCACATAAGTGCATCGAAACCCGCTGGGCAATAGCCTCCCACACGGTTTGCTTTCGCCTGCTGGATCTTAGCCAACCTCCCACTTCACATACGTTCACAAAGAACTATTTTTTGACATTTCTATTCTTTTACTTATATAGAGGCAATGTTCAATAGTTGATTCTTCCGCCTCAAATTTCATACATTATGATCAAAGTCCCGAACATCTATGTTGTTGACTCTATCAGTTTTGTTCTTGTCTTTTGCCCTTGCAAGGTTCAAAACTGTAGTATTATTCTTGATCGTTATTTTAGTTAGATCTGATTGAATTTAATTCCTTATTTTGTCTTTTGCTAATCAAATTTATATGAGATGGTTGAGTTCCAAATACAATATACCTTATGGATCGGGATAATGTTCTTAGCAAATACAACTTCTCATCTTAAGTACCTGCCCAGAGTCACTTTGCTTTTAGGGGATGTGTTTAGGAAATGAAGCTCATTGTAGTACTGTGGTTTATTTACGTTGGGATTTTTAGATCTCGCAAAAACCTCGAAGCCACCAAACGTAGCAAATAAAATCACACAAGATTTAACGTGAAAAACCCTCAACAGGAAAAAACCACGGGATCAAAATCAATCCATTATCACATCCAAACTACAATCTTTTACATGGACAAAGACTGCCATACCCTCTCTCTCACAATACCCTTGAACCCGGTTACACCCTCTAAAACCTTGATTACAAGAATATTGTCTCTCATTCTCTCTACTCTAAACCCTAGAATAGGAGGCCTTATTTAAAGACACTCTCTGACTTGACTGCCAAGTTAACTTGACCTCTACGAAAACTACTAGGATTAGGTCTAGCCTTCAAACCCGCATCCGACTTAGAGTTTGAGTTGGTACCCAACATATCCTCCATCGACGAAAAATCTCCAAGTGTCTTAACGGCTTCAGAAAAACTCACTCTTTTCTTCTTGTTCTTCACTTCTACCTTGTGGACAAGAGTCTGAGAAGAGTCATCTACACCATTAACAGATTGTCCATCTAAATAACAAATATGGTTGCTATTCTTTCTCCCTTGCAAAATCAAATCACCATCTCTATACACTTTGCACCACTCTCCTTCACTCATATACTTGTACCCACGTGATGTTGTCTCACCTAACGAAATTAAATTAGCACCGCATATCGGCACATATCTCACATGATGAAGAATTCCGATCTTCCCAGTGTGAAGTTTGAGACGAACACTTCCAACACCTTCAACCTTCATCTTATCGTTGTTTCCAACAATCACGTCGTCAAATTCTTCATATGTCTTCAATGTGTTAAAATAATTTTTGTTGTAAACGTGCATAGAGGCTGCAGAATCTAACACCCAAGTGTTACTCGCATCAGTACCTGTACTCTGCATCAATAACATCACATCTTCATCACACAACCACCGAGGAGTCCGCCTTCTTCCTATTTTCTTGAAACTTTATCTGTCTAATACTCTTCAAATCATCACGCATATGGGATATCTGAACTGAATGTGACCCTTCTCTCCGCAATAATAACACTCCTTTTCGCTATCGTCTCGGACCCAAGATCAAGATTTTGACCTTGCTCGATAACTGTCACATCTTCCCTTACTCTTCTTTCGATTAGAACCTTCAAAAGCTAGTGTACTCTCATCACCATTAGATGCGCTCTTCTTTCCTATCATTCTTTCATTCTCACGTAGGAGTGCTGTTATATCGTCGAACTTCAAAGTCTGCTTCCCTGCAATTATCGTCTGAACTAATGGTTTGTATGATTTCGATAAGGATGACAATAGGAGTAGTGTGTGCTCTTCTTCTTTAATCTCCTCATCAATATTCATAAGTTGACAAACTAGCTGATTAAAGACATTAATGTGGTCTTGAATTGTAGTACATTCTTTCATCTTCAACGAATAAAGCTTCATCCTCAAATACAATCGGTTGGTCATCGACTTTGACGCATAAATCTCCTCGAGCCTTTTCCACAGCCCCCTTACTGTGGTCTCTTGCATAACATTATACTTGATTTTGGGGGGCGAGTGTCAAACGAATTGTGCTAACCGCCCTCTTTTGTATGGAACTCCATTCAGCAACCTTCAATCCTTCAGGTTTCTTCTACTCTAAAGCTTGATTAACACTCTGCTGCACAAGAATATCTTGAACCGTGTACTACCATACTGTAAAATTTGTTTTACCATTGAATAGCGGGATATCGAACTTCGGACCCAAAAAAGTCATCATCCTCTAACTGCAATCAAAATTCAAATCAGTCACTGTAGAGATTAAATTTGATAAAACCGATGTCAAAAACGAACTCAGCACATCAAAAAATCCTAGGAACGACTACTGAATCACCAAAACCAGCCTTCAAATCCTCGATCAAAAGACAAATTAATCTCAATCGGCGGATCTGCGCGAACAATACCTCTGCTACAGTACCCCCACTTACAGTGTCGTCGCTATGATAGCCTTTTTTTTGTCGATGTCGATCACCGCGCTTCGACCGCTGACGCCTTCACGAATCGCGCACTGATCAAACCTTTACGAATCGTCGAACCCCGCTCTGATACCACTTGTTGGGATTTTTAGATCTCACAAAAACCCCGAAAAGCCACCAAACGTAGCAAATAAAATCACATAAGATTTAACATGAAAAACTCTCAACAGGAAAAAATCACGGGATCAAAATCAATCCACTATCACCTCCAAATTATAATTTTTTGCACGGACAAAGACTGTCAAGCCCTCTCTCTCACAATACCCTTGAACCCGATTACACCCTCTAAAATATTGATTACAAGAATATTGTCTCTCTTTACTCTAAACCCTAGAATATGAGGCCTTATTTAAAGACACCCCCTGACTTGCCCGCCAAGTTAACTTGGCCTCTACAAAAACTATTAGGATTGAGCCTAGCCTTCAAACCCGCATCCGATTTGGAGTTTGAGTTGGTACACAACAATTTACTCCTAGTTAATTCTTTTGTTATGAATGTTACTTGTTTATCTTCCATACCGGATCAGCCGATTGCTCCTCTTTCAGATTCTAGGAATGTGTTTAAGAAATGAAGCTCAATATACACTTGTGGTTTATTTAGGAATTACACTAAACCCTCAAGAACTTTTAGCTTTTTTCAGTAAACCCCTAATAACTTTTAAAATACCTTTTTATGTTGTTCTTTGGTTCTAATTCATGGGGGTTATCTGCAAAATGCGGAAACTTGTTGGGAGTTTTCTGCAATTCCAAAAGATATTGGGGGTTTAGAGCGATATTGAAAGTTACTATGGTCGTAATAAAAAAACGCTGAAAGTTATTGGGGGTTTAGTGTAATTTACCCTTTTATTTACTAGTAATCAATTCTTTTAAAGAATTTACCCTGTATATCTGCAATATTGGGTCAGTAATTCCTCTACTCAGGTAAAATATTTAAATAAGCTTCATTTACCTAATGTGCTTTTGGTTCTTTGCAGCTTTTTAAATTTCTCCCAAGGTTATCACCAAATGTGGCAAATATCTTCCAGGAAATAAAGCGTCACTAGCGTAGTCTCCTGGTAACTTTATCTGCAGATCATCTACTTGTTGTTCCTTATTTTCTTTTCATAATCATCTCCCTCAATAAATCCTCCTCGTCATAAATTTATCTTGTTTTCTTGACTTTTTCTATAAATTTTCAAAAACATAAATCCTAATGAGAGATTTGAGCTAGTGACTTCCAAAGAGACTTTTAAATGATCTGCCAAGGTAAATTTGGTGAAGCGACCTGAGACCATCTGTCGTTGTTATTATTATTATTATTATTATTATTATTATTATTATTATTATTATTAATTAGCTTCATATGTTCTGATTGTATAACAGCTTGGGTAAAGATGGTTGACATAAGCAGCTTTTCTTCCTATGTAGCTTGTCAATTTCACACTTGCCGTGCAATTTCACTAAATGCAGGTCAATTCTTCCTATGTAGTTTGTTAATATATTTGAAAAAAAAATTGAATGGATTTTGATGTGTTTTGAACCATGTCTCAAGGGGAAATAAATATTAAGCAGCATTACAAAAATTTGGAAGCTTTAATTTTGACAACATATTTTGATTTTCAATTTTGGAATCCAAACTTTAAACTTTGGTTGATAGTATCTGCAGGTTCGATACTATTAATAATAGACTAGTTCAACTCATAAATAAATACTGTATGCATAGAAACATACCACACACATGCTAGACATACATTTGCAAGTGTGTTGGTACTTACCTTTTTCTTTTCTTTTTTTCTTTTTTAATAAGAGGACTTCAATTGTGTAAGTATATTTTATGGTCAATATACGTTATTCTCTCTGCTCACCTGTTTGTGTGCCTCATCCTCTTTTACTCGGGCAAAAGCAAACGATTTCTTACTTTTTCGGTTCAGAGTGTTAACCGTGGAAGAACTTCGAAAATCATTGCTTGGAGTTGCATCAATATCCCTTTTTTTCCCGTCTTGTTTTGAAAGTCAGTATATTAGTGACACTTGTTAAACGTGTTGTTTGCAGGAAACTGGTCGTGTTTCTCTCTGGTACAGAACATGTGATGATTTTAAACAAGCTTCTTCCGTCCTGTCCTTCGGTGAGGAGACATAACAAACAATTTGATGGCCACTCTTATAAACGGGTGCCTCGAGTTGTTCTGTGAGAATGTTCAAGCGGATTTCATGTGTATTTGATCTGGATGCTGACTACAAAACAAGAAGAAGAAGAAGAAGAAGAAGAAAGATTGTGAAAAGGGGGGCACATTAAAGAGAACTGTGTCATACTTACTTGCTCCACAAAAGAATGGAGCCTTGTGACCGTGGAATTGTGTATGGCGGCTCTACAGGAGGGTTTTTCTGTAGCTTTGTCTGTTGTGCGGCCGTGAGTCCTCGCAACTTGTTTAACAGGGTCGTAGTTATTCATACAGCAGCCTCTCCGCGTAATGTACTAGATATGTAGTAATGTCTAGGATCAACAAGAGAGCAAGGAATCTTGAAGTTTTAGAATGTCTAGATATAAATCTAGTTTTAAAATGTCCAGATATAAATCTAGTTTATCTATTTATTTTAATTTTATTTATTTGAAAATAACTACCATGTGGAGCAGCATTATTCATGAAATCAAAGAGGAACAAAGGGCGATAAGAGTATTCAGTATCCTCTGTTTATTATGGGGCCCAATCCTAAGTTCTATGTACAATTGGATTGTTATTAAGTTTAGAATTTATGAATATCGTTCAAGAGTTATGAGATGGATTTGGATTGACCGATCGGCAAGGAAGAATCATTGAAATTAGCACATGTATTATTTATTAGGGCCTCTAAGAAAAGAGAATAGCTTATAAGATTATTAGGCATCATTTAAAGAGGCATCGTGTGAACGTTGGTCAATATCGAAGAAGTTATTAACATGGATTATGCTTGTACTAATATCTTTGGGGTTATGATAAGTGAATGGCAAAAGTTGTTTGAGTTTATTCTATGTTAACACCTGTAATGAAAATAAGAAACTTTATTGTCATTCTAATAACAATATTAAATTAGTATAAAAGAATATGACATAATTAGCAATACTTATTCAATAAATTCACAGAGCCTAGAACTAAACTATCTTCGTTTGATTTCGGTTAATTTTAGAACCCCTCACAGGGTTGGTGGGGGTAGGGGTGGGGTGGGGGTAGAAAACCCATGTTAGCTATTTTCAATCCAGAAACTTCTTCTTCTTCTTCTTCTCTGTGGTTTTCTCCTCCACCTCTCAATCTTCTCCCATCCTCCTCCTCTCAATCTGGTTGAACCTCCTCCCCCTCCTCCTCCCCTCATCCTCTCAATCTCTTCTCAATTTCCTCCCCTCCTCCTCCTCTCAATCTCCTCCCCCATCCCCCTCCCTCTCCTAGTGGTGGTCCTCCACCGCCACCCTCTACTTCGACCAGACCCTCTCCAACGTCACCCGGTCCTTCGCCATCCTCCTCTCAATCGCCGGCCAATGATCGACCATCGTCTCCTACTCTACTCTCATCGCTGAACATCCCATACCCCTCAAGCCTCTCGAGGAGAAGACCCTTCACACTATGATACGACCGCGGCCTCCGCCGGCGAATCTCGCTACTGATTTTGATCTCCACCAGTGCGTCGAGGCGTTCTACAACGGAGTCTGGTGGAAGGGAGTGGTGACCAAAGTGCCGGGGAGAGATGGAGACTTACTGTATTCAGTTTGTTTTCCGGCTAGCATGGAGGAATTTCAGTTCAAGGCATCGGAGATTTGGAGGCAAATAAAGTGGGTGAAGGGGGAGTGTCTTAATGTTGAAGATGGTGATCAGGTGAGTGATTAATTATTTCAGTTCTTGAATTTAATTTTCCTTTGAGTGGTTTTATAGGTGCAGGTTCATGGCGTAACCCATTTTCTTATGATTATATATGTGTGTTTGATTCTTGTGGCTCTTTTGTGCCCTGCACACCAGTTGTTTGTCATTTTGCTTCATTGAAGTAATAAGATTAGTATTACACATAAACATGTGAAATTTTATTTAAGAGTCTTGAGACTCTGTGGTATGACCAATGTAAGTCTATGTCCCCAGGACCACAGCCCTCTAAGGAATTAACCACCATCTCTTCGTTGTTCATTATATATGAGAAGAAAAAAATCATTTGTTTTGCTGTGCCCATTTGTTACTTTGAGAATTTGCTACTAATTTTCTCTTTTGGGTGTGTTCTTAACTGTAAGATTTTGTTTTGCAATGGCTTAGAATTTTTATTTTACCAAGTTTTTTATCAGCTGACGTTACCTTTGTGAATCCAGTGCTGCAACATTTATAACATCTAAAAGCTTCACCCGATAATTGTGCTATTTATCTAACCATACGGTTTGGTTGTCTCTTATTTGTGATAAAATAAGTAAAATTTTGATTAATGTTAAATCTCATGAGAACATAGAATGTCTGTCAAATCTCATGATCAACAAGAACATGATTAATAAGAACATGACATGTATCCTATGTTAACTTTAACTGGTACATATTAACTTTCATCATTATATGTTAACTCTCCTCGTAACATGTTAACTTTCCAGCTAAACATGTTAACGTTCATCATAATATGTTAACTTTCACTGTTATATGTTAACTTTCATAATAATATGTTAACTTTCTTCATAACATGCTAACTTTTTCTCAGAATGATTACTTTTTCTCATCTTATGAATGTGTTGTGTTTTGAGAGAAGCTTGTTTTTGTAATGGATAGACATACACCAATGAACTGGAGATCAAGGTCTCACGACTTGAAGAAGAGAACAATATTACATTCTGCACCGCCACCAGAACCAAAGCATCAACTGCGAAAATCAAGCTCAACTTCTTTCTAAATATTGCATGTATACTAAAATTTGTAGATTTGCATGGAGATTGGAGTGTTTTTTGTAAGATATTTGTATAAGAAAACATGTCTGAACTTGTGAGAACTTATGATCTGTTAGTTATTTTTTTGTGGTTGTACTCGAAACTGAGTAGAAGAATGACCCATAATTGTGGGCTTGAATGATTTACATATGTTTAAGATATCATGAGAAGTTATAGCAAGTTTTACTTTAGTGGGTTTTTTCTTATTCTTGAAGTTTTAATGCGTCGATTCTAATACACGTATGTTGGTACAGTGAGGCATATGTTTGTCTCTATTTTTGTATGTTGTTTTAATTTTGGATTAACATGTTACGAGAAGAGTTAACATATAATGATGAAAGTTAACATGTAACAATTAAAGTTAACATATTAGGATAAAAGTTAACATCTTCAGATTAAAGTTAACACATGATGAAGAAAGTTGACATGTTCACGTGAAAGATAATTTATTCAGCTGAAAGATAACATAGTCGAAAAAACAAAAAAAGATAAGCTGCTTTTAAAACTTCTTTCAGGTGATATTGCTTGACTACACAATATGAATATTCTTACAAATTCACATATTACAACTTCGATGAAACACAAACTTACTTGCGAGATCCAATTAAATTGGGTTTTAAAATCAAGTTCATGTCATTCATCCTATCAAACAATCTTCATAAGAAAACTAACATACTATGCTGAAAGTTAACATACTATGCTGAAAGTTAACATGTTCATAAGAAAGTTAATATATGCAGATGAAAGTTAACATATACAGCTGATAGTTAACATGTTCACGTGAATGTTAACATATACACCTGAAAGTTAACATATACAGATGAAAGTTAACATGCTCACGTGAAAGCTAACATGTTCAGGTTAAAGCCAACATTTTCAGCCAACATATAGAGAGTTAACATGCTCATTTCATATTGTTAACATATACACCTGAAAGTTAACAAGCTTCATACTTCTTATACCATGAATCAATTTCTCACACATGATTGAGTACACACCAAATTGTTGATCCTCCAGCATTGTGATTTTAAGCATGTTTAGGATCACAATAGCAAATCACTTGTAATATTTTTCCTTTGTATTTGAGATTTCATAAGTTAAGCATGTTTAGGATCACAATAGCAAATCACTTGTAATATTTTTCCTTTGTATTTGAGATTTCATAAGCAGTCCCCTCAAACATACTTGCTTATAAGGAAAATTGTAACATTAGTGAGTCTCTAATCTAGAAATTAGATCTGTGCAAAACATACTCTTTCTATCCAAATTGTTCTATTTGAATGAACTTGTACATATTCACATGACAGTCACAATACATTTCACATACAATCGCAATAAATTATACAAAAATTGATCACTAAATAGACACAATACATTTTATTAATTTTTGATCTAAGTACAACCAAACCACAAGAACATATAGTATAATCAACTGAACAATAAAACAAGACACGTTACAAGCAATTCTGGAGAAACTATACAAGAGTAAAGAGTACAAACAATCCTATTATAAAAATTAACATCTTCTTCCTCTTTTCTTCTGCAAGCTCACCCATCAAATTCATTTCTTCTCTTTTCACAACCTCATCCAAGCAATAACAAGCTTCATTTCCTTTGTTTATTCAACTTAAACTCTTGTTTGAGTTTAGAAATTACCTCATGACATCTCAATGTCATAGTACTTTTCAACAATCAATTTATCCTTCAAATTCAAGCTTCTCCTCAAATCAGTGAGTTCTTCTCTCATAGAGGTTGACATCACAAGCTCACATCTTTATTGCAGTAACATTTGAGAATTATTAGAGAAACTACAAACCAACATGGCATACAAGTTATTAATAAACCGTCATCCACAAGCACAAAACTATGTTGAGCCAAAGAATTTCGATGAAATATATGGTGGCTACAAAAGATTCATGCGTGTGCAGTAGGAAAGAAGAAACTAGTTAGCCATCAAAGGGAACTAGGAAATGAGACAACAATAGAAACTATATATACACATGCATGTATGTCTCTCTATGCACGGGCATGCATGCATGTGCGTGTGTACAAATATTACGTACATAAATTCCCTCACTCCCTATAGATGTGCAAATGTACTTGTGCATGTGTATATCATTCAAACATCAAAGGTTTTGAGTGCAAGGATCAGCTGAGTATAACAGGTTGGCAAAACAAGACACAAGTTCATGAAAACTATAGTCACTGATGATAATGATACAATTGAAGTTCCAGAAGCCTATATATGAATATCATAATAGCAAAGTCCAGTTCATATGAATATCATAGTAGTTCTTTAACCATTCACATAAATTGCGGGCCTAGCAAAGTCCAGTTCATATGAATATCATAGTAGTTCTTTAACCATTCACATAAATTGCGGGCCGAATATACTAGAAACTAAACACAAACACACAAGCAAGCTATTAGCACATAAAAATGGCAAACACAACTTTAAATGAGCTGAACTATACCCACAACAAGCATATGGTTAGACCCTTGATAATCATTCACTGGTTTCTTCAATCGTAAACATCGGCTTTCACACATAATAAGCAACCAATCTACAACCACAACTATGAACCATCAAATTGGTGTAATATCAAAATAAATAGTTCGTGAAACTCCAGTGAACTACCACAGGATTAAGCAACTACACATCAGACCTTTTCACCTCCTTCTTCCTTCCTATAACATAGCAAAGCTTTAGGTGTCAAAATAAATAAGAAATATATCGGAACAAATTGTAACTTATTTGAATTTT